CACAGCACTCGGTGTGGTCGACGTATGGCGCCAGCTCAATCCATCCACACGTCTGTTTAGTGGCCCTGGGCGGGTCAACCGGCTAGACTACCTCTTCTTGGATAGCGCGATGGCATCCCATCTCAACCCCGTGGCCACATATGACCCGAACGGCTATGGTGGTGACCATCTCGCCCACACTGTGACTCTATCCCAAAGTCTCTGCACCACTACCAAGGGCTACTGGCGACTACCACGAGAGCTGCTGTCCGATCCCAACATCCAACGTGCCATCACCATGGAGGCCACCACTCTTCTTGGCAAGATGCGAGCTGACGAGACCCTCAACCATGGTGCGATGTGGTATGGCTGGCTGAAACGAATGAGACGCCAGCTCATCAAATGCCATCGGCTACACATCGAATCGGCTAACACCCAACTCCACCACCTGCGACTCCGTCTCGCAGCTGCAAAACGGGCACTGGACGGTGACGGTGACGATGTTTCCAAGGTTGCTGCTGTTGCTGCGGCTCAGCTAGCCTACGATTCAGCCAAGTCTGAGCATGGCCAATATGCCCGCGATCGACGGTTTGACTTCCATGCGAATTCGAATGAACGGGGAGCGTCCCATTTCTTTCGGTAGCCGTTGGGAACCAAGGGGATCGACAGTTTGACTTCCATGCGAATTCGAATGAACGGGGAACGTCCCATTTCTTTCGAAAGCCGTTGGGAACCAAGGTGCCCATCAACTGTGTCACCGTGGATGGGGTGATGATCACCGATGAGCCCACAGGATGCCAACCCACCAGATCACCATCGCCGTCGTGCTGTAATCGAGTCCCTCACGAAGCGACTCAACCTGGTCGACCGCCGTGAGAGTCTCGACCAGCACACTCACCCATCACTGCGACTGAGCTGTGTGATGCCATGAAGACCATGAACCCATCCAAGTCGCCTGGTCCAGACGGCTGGTCAGCAGGGTTTTTTCAGGTGGCTCCTGAGATCTTCTCGGAACTACTGCTCATGGTTTTCAACTACCAGCTCACCCACCATGGATGCCTGCTTCCACACCAACGCCGCAGTGCCATCACCCTGTTGCACAAGAGTGGTGACCGTGGCATGCCAGGCAACTACCGACCCATTTCCCTCATGCCCGTTGAGGTGAAAGTGCTTTCTCGTGCCCTGGCATACCGCCTCGCTCGGCACGCACCACAGCTTATCCACCCCACCCAAGCTGGTTTTGTGCCCGGACGTCGACTCCATGACCACGTCACCATGGTGCAAGCTCTCCAGCACTATTGCACAATGGAGGACCAAGACAGCTATGCCACGTTTCTCGACTTCTCGAAGGCGTACGACATGGTGGATCAAACTTTCCTGTTTGACGTGCTTGAGGAGATGAATTTGGGTGCAAATTTCATCTCGTGGGTCCGTCTGCTGTACAAATCACCGGTGGCTCACCTCCTGTTCAACGGCACATTGGGCCCAGCCATCAGGCCAACTCGTGGAGTGAAACAAGGCTGCCCACTGTCATGTCTGCTGTTTGTGTTCTACCTGGAGCCTCTGGGTGACATGCTACGTGATCAACCACACCTTGGAATCACTCTGCCCCATGGAGAGTCCATGACTAGCATATTCTTTGCTGACGACTCCACCCTGCTATCGAAGGACCTGCCTGCTGCTGTGAAGCAACTGGGCATTGTCGAGGAGTTCTGTGCTGTGTCTGGTGCTCGGCTGAACCAAACCAAATGTCAAACCCTGGTTCTCAACGGCCACCTTGACCCTGCTGACACCGATGGTGGGGGTCTCCTGAACATTGTGCCCTCAGGCCAACCTGTCAAGTACCTCGGGCTCATGTTCGGCCACCGACTACCATCCGACTACCAGCTCAACCTCGTCAATGAGAGGTTCCTGTCCAGCTTCCAACATTGGGGTTGCCGTGCTCGCACACTGCAAGGACGTCGGCTGCTGGCCAACACAGTCATGTTATCACTCCTGTGGCATGTGACGGCTGCTCTTCCGGTGCCACCTGCAATGGTGCAGAGCTGGCAGTCCATGCTCAACCGATACATCCTCGGTCGGAAGACTGTCCCCACCGACCGTCACCACCCCATGTTGTCCTCCCCACTACAGTTTGACCTCAGGCTGGGTCTGGGTCTACCCCACGTGGCGTCCAGGATTCGTGCCCAACGGCTGCAGCTCCTTCAGCGTGCCATGACCGTGTCAACTGCGGACCGACCGTTATGGCAGCCACTGGTGTTACGGCAGTTTGAGAGGTGCAGAGGT